TTTTTTCAGACTAATTTGCAAGCCATTCTCCTTGAGCCTTTACACTGTTTTCCAGATGTCCTGCCCTTCTTTAAAACCCCTTTGAGGGTTCGACAGGCCCTCACCCGAAACTCGTTCTCAGGGCGGCCAAATTTAAAAAAAAAAAAATTTTCTCTTATGAAAAGAAAGAGAACTTTTTCCCGATCATAAATACACCAAAAGTTTGAAATTTGATAGAAAAACTTACGGAATTATGCTCTCTCGCAAAGTTAGCGGTCTCGGCGATGTTTTACGCATCGGCGATATTGCCCACTTTGGACCCCATTTACGGCCAATTTACAGTACTAGTCGACAAAAAACATGAATAATTCGCTAGAACCTCCTTTTTTCTATCGAATGGGGTGCAAGATACCAGCTTGTCCATTTATGAAATTCAACTATCCATACAGTGTCAGAATTTAGAGCAATTTTGCCAATTTTCACACAAATTCAAAGATGCCAATTTCCGATAGGGGCCCAGAATAAACAAGAAATGACAATTCCTAGCTACTAAAAAATGACATTTGTCCTCTATTCAAAGTAACGTCTCAAGGCCGTCCTCTTAATCTAAGCTTTCCACTTTGAATTTTTATTTTCACAAAAAAATATAAGATTTACTGTTATGCAGACTCTGCATTAGTGTAAAAAATTGTATCATATTATAGGTGCACTTGTTGAAAGAATATTAGACTCACCAGTTGACGAGAATTGTCACAGCTTGGCACGATTTTGTGTCCTTTTGAATTTTGGTAAAAAACGAAACATTTCTGCTACTTTGAGCTCATTTCAATGCACTTTTCTATTGTAAAACCAGTCAAAATCATCCCAATTTCTGTAATATGTCTTCTCATTCTATAAAATGGAGACCAATAAAAACTAGAATACAACGATAAATACCAATACGAAAATCACTGCATAGTCCTGTTTTATTAAAAAAAAATGGTCAAAGGTTTTTTTTTTTCTCATTATGCACTGTGTTGCTGCAGGATTTTTTTTAGACTGTGCACACTGAACCCACATAGACCATACTTTCATAATGAAGGCCACCACTTTCTTCTCTCACTATATATTGAGCGCCGCTAGAAATATATGAGTACGAGTACGTCCAAAAACCCCTAACGTCGTATGTACTTAACTAGTACGAACGAAAACCCTCAAAGGGTTAATTTTCATAATTTTTGCATTTTTGGGATTAATCTAATAGCCCTATGACAGACCAATCCTGCAGCTTGCCTGGATTCCATTTGTAGTTTTTCCTGTCTACTGCCTACTTGTAATACTCCCAGTAAGTTTTCACATCATCTGCAAACTGGATAGCTCTGCAACTCAGTAACCTCTTCCATATCATTTACATACAACAAGAAAATAGTGACAGTACTGACTTTTGGAACCCCACTTGTCCACACTGTAAACCCTTTCCTGAACACCTCCCTGAACGTAAATTGAATTGCTTCCCACCCATTAAGTACAGTAATCCTTGATCTACCAGTTTATTTAATTCCTTCCTTACATTGTATGCTTGACTGCCAGTCTCTTGTTGGGCTTATAACAGACATTCTTGAAGTCCAAAAATAAAATTCCACCAATCTCTTTTTCCCTCTCACCTGCCTAACTTTTTAACCTTGTAAGAACTCTAGCAGATTATGTGAACAGATTTGCCACCCTAAAATCATGCTGGTGTTGGTGTACTCCACTATTGATAATCTTCTTTTTAGCCTTATATACTATACATGTTAGAGACATAGCAATAACAATGAGGTCACCTAGAAACTATAGTAAAGAAACACTGGGTAAATTGCACACACTTTGTGAACTGGACAGAGATAACAATGTTTGCACGGTACGTAAACGATGCCCTGGAAAAATCAAACAATGTTACTACCATCGCTTGAGAAATATTGCACCAGTTAAAGAGGTAGGATTAAATGAAGAACTGAACCCTGGATGAATACTGAGATATAGATAAAGTAAATTCAGAGACACAGCTGCTAAAAAGATTTATAAAGCAAACAACAGGGATATTGCAGGCACTAAATGAATTCCAAAGGTGAGGAACATACTACAGAGACTTATATAAAGGGAAGCAAGGCAAAGCACTACAGCTCAAAATTGAAGATATAAGCATAACCCCGAAAGCTCTGGCAACAACTAAACCAGTCGGGTAATAGCCTTAAATCCAGTAGAATAGGTCTAACATAGTACTCACTATCGATAATGAGGTATGCCACGAAACATCTAAGTTGGCAAATTGCTTTTAATTCATACTACACATCGTTGCATCAACACTGAGTAAGTAAACTACCAGCGCATCAAAACCTTTAAACACAGACTCCTAAGATAAGTTTTCAAACATACTATAACCAATAAATGGTAACCCGCCCAAACAGTGGTCAACTAGTATGTTATCTCATGACTTTATTTCAAAAAGACTAAGCAGGTTAAACCCAACTAAGATTACAGGCCCTGATAACCATCCCGTCTAAGTTCCTAAAAATTGGTGCATATTCTGAACTGTCAATTTCCTATGCTCACATAATAAATCCTGTCAATCGCCCTAATACCGTACCTAGGCGGTTCAAGAAGTGCCAGAGTAACTCCTATCTTCAAAGAAAAAAATAGTAGTCTGATGTAAGCAACTTATAGGCCCTATTAGTTTAGGGGTAATTTAAATATCACACTGGCCGATTCCACCAAGGCAGGGTGGCCCGAAAAGAAAAACTTTCACCATCATTCACTCCATCACTGTTCTGCCAGAAGGTGTGCATTTAATCACTACAGTTTTTAAAACTGCAACATTAACACACAGCGCCGCCCTCCTTCAAGTGCAGGCACTGGTACTTCCCCAACTCCAGGATCAAGTCCGCCCTGCCGGTTTCCCTGAGAATCCCATTCATAAATGTTACTGTTTGCTCACACTCCAACAACGTTGCCTATTAGTACCTCAGTATAATATCAAAATTTCAGAGAGGGCGGTTATTCTCAAGTAGTTAGTACCTTAATGACAACAACAATGCTCCATAGCTATCAATCCCTGCTTTAGAAGAGATCCTAACTCAACTGACACTTCGCTTATTGAATCCATGGATTACCTGAGGACTGAAATGTCAAAGGGGAACCTTCATAGGAATGGTAACCTTAGACCTTCAAAAGGAAGGCCTTCGATACTGTCAACCACAATATATTATGTACTAGAACTCTTCAAGCAATCGTATATGGTTCCTGTAGACTGGTTATAAGTCCTACCTTAAGGTCAACAGGAAGCCAAATATCCAAAATCCAACAAAACAGGAATCAGAACCCCTGCTCAATAACATGTGGGAGATTCCCCCAGGTAGTATCTGGGTCCCTTATTATTCTTATGTTTATTTCCAACTGATAATGCCTATCATGTCAAGTGCAAACTCCTACTGTATCAATGACAGATGCTCTGTTAGTGGCAGAGGTAAAGACCCACAAGATATTGCTAAGTTTTAACAATGGGAACTGGAGGTCCTGCAGAATAATGGATAGTAGACAACAAACCTAATGATTACTTCCTAGGAAAACGAAGGCCCTTCTCTTTTGTCACGAAACATAAACTAGAAGGTAATAATTTTTATGTTCAATGTAAGGGGAGCCCATCACTTTTGGTTTCATCATTAAAATATATGGGAAACCCCTTTGACCCATCATGTCAGGATAATTGATAGGGAACATAGTAAAAAGTAAAAGGAATGCCATACCTGAAGTTCTGTATAGACAGCACAGAGTCTACCTACTGAGCTCGCATGGACCCATGTCTAGCCCTTATACAATGCCATATGGATTACGCCTTGTCTTCTTGGTACTCTGCCTTGACAAAAAAAACTGAAAGAAGACGTGCAAATCACCCAGAACAAAATCGTAAGAATTCATCCTGGGGCTGGGACCAAGATAACTAGTAGGCCCGGAGAGAATTACAGCAGTTGGAATGCTGAATGTTGAAGACAGAGTAAAAACAACTGAAGCTAAATCAATGTTTAAAAATTGCTCACAAACAATGTCCAGAATATCTTCTGTCAATTTGTTCAAGTTGGAACCAAAGCAATCAAATACTAGGGGGAGAGAGCCACAACTTGTAGTAACCCACAGTCAGGGCCAGGGCTTCAAACACCTTTTATTGTACAGCAAAAAAGGAATGGAACAGACTGCCACGCCACGAATGACAAAGCCATAGACATAGCATGACCGCAGTTCAAGAAGTGTGCCAAAAGGTGGTCTGAGAATGTAGCTACAGAAAGGGATGGGATAGATTTTTCTATTTTTTTAGCTAACATACATTGTAAATTTTTTACCCTATACCTAATAATTGACCTTGTTATTGTAGATAGTCTTAATGACCTTGGTGTAGTAGATAGTCTTTTAGTATGAAATAAGAAGTTATCTTCAATGTAGATTAATAAGAAAATAATATAACCTTTATATTAAAAAAATAAGGTAAAAGGGACCCCAATGGAAATAATTCACTCTGTCTGACTTTTTTTGGGTTATCCCAGGTTCTCTACACACATGCTGCTATGTATGATAATTCTATGTAACTGTATTTGTGTATACCTGAATAAACTTACTTACTTAGAGGCATGTAGTTAAATGTTACCTGTCTGCCCCATTTTTTATATGCTATTGGAAGTACAGTTGTTTTCCAGACCTCTGACAGCTGCTCACTTGCAATCAGCTTGTTGAAGATCACTGTTAGTGGTTCACACAGTTCCTCTTGCTCTATCTTGGAGAACCTACGGAGATATTTTGTTTGGTCCCATTGCCGTAGAGATATCTAGTTCACTTAGTACAGTGATACAGTGTGTGTGGTATACATTACGTCATACAGAGTTTGAGGGTTAAGCTGGGATCACTGTAGTTAATGTTTGCTAGTTCTCTTGCAGACTTGTTTTGTAATTTTAGTGTAAGGCAGGGTTATGAGAAATGTCGTGCAGGGGATTTAATTTTTGTTTTGCTTTGAACAGGTGGTCTTAGAGGAAGAAACAGTAATTAAGGAAGAAATACCTGAAACCAAACATGAACATGAGGATGAGATTACCAGACTCACAGACTCTGAGGCAAGCATAAACTATGATCCGCTAAATTCTGTGGATGATAAAGGTGGTACAGGAGGCATGGCGGGGATGTTCAGTCCTCAGATAATATCAAGTCATCCACAAAATGTATTACAAGATATTATGGTGCAAGGAGTACCTGGACCCTCAGCACTGCCAGCGGTGAGTATCACTTAAACGTTGGAGCAGTTACTGAAATGTTGGTAGCGCTTAGGTTACTACAATTGTCACAGTACAGTACAGTAGGGCCCTATTTTCTGAGGTTCTGTGTTACAAGGTTTCACACTTAAAACATTGGCATTTAGGAACCATGTAACTATGTGCAAATGGATGTATGTCAATCGCTGCATGATCTGAGAAAGGTATCCCCATATTCCACAAACCCAGCCTCCTCTACTTCAGTGTAAGCAAAAGGAATGGTGGAGGGTGGTCATAAGAGTCCACCATAATATGTAGAAGTTTTAATAACCGTGTATGTGTGTGTGCAGGTGAATTTCTGCATACATGCACTTTTATATGTATACATGTGTATATGTTTCCATAGGGAAGTGGAACAGAATTCTTCCTCCGTAAGCCATGTGTGTCGTAAGAGGCGACTAAAATGCCAGGAGCAAGGGGCTAGTAACCTGTATCAAACTTGTCCTTACTTTCTAAAATATTTGACAAAATAATACACAAACAACTTTATGCCTACCTTATATCCAGCAACATACTTAACTCCTGTCAGTTTGTCTTTAGACCAAAAAAAAGTATGAATGATGCAATTATACAAATGCTTGAACTAATACACTGTATATACAGCCCTCAATAAAAATGAATATCCTCTGGGTCTTTTCATTGACCTGCGGAAAGCATTTGATACAGTGGACCACATTCTCTTGTACTTAAAACTAAATCATTACGATATCAGAGGACATTACCTCGATTACCTAAAATCTTATCTTAATGATAGACACCAAAATGTATATACAAATGGAGTCGGCTTCACTATAAGGCCTGTAGCTGTCTGAGTGCCCCAGAGTAGTGTCCTAGGCCCACTCTTCTTTCTCATCTACAGCAATGATCTCCCCAGTGCATTCCAACACCTTAAACCAGTTCTATTCACAGATGACACTACTTATAAATAACAAAAAAGGCACAATACCGTGACTGGAACGATACACAAATAACCCGCACATAAAAGAGAGAAGCTTACGACGACGTTTCGGTCCGACTTGGACCATTGACAAAGTCACACTAACCAGAGGTGGAGCAGGACGGCTATATATAGGCAGGAAGAGGTGGTGGTAGTAGTAGTAGTACAAGAGTTGTATATAATACTGACAAGATGAAATTAAGACACATGCATAACACCCGGGCATCCCCATCATAGACGTTTCGCCATCCAGCCAGCCACTGGATGGCGAAACGTCCACAACAAAGACAACCAGACGCCGCACATGTGTCTTAATTTCATCAGTAGTTGTAGTAGTAGTAGTAGTAGAAGAAGAGGTAGTAGTAGTGGTAGTGGTAGAAGTGGGAAATAAGGAGGACGAGCCAGTCAAATACAAAGGAAGGGGAGCACTGCAAGAGAGCTAGATGCCCACAGAGGGAGAGCAAGCTCACAGAGATGCGTGAAAGGGAAGTGGTGAAATAAATGAAGAAGGAACAGAAACACGAGACAGGAGAGAGAAAGACAACCCAGAGGAGAAAAGGAAAGAGGAAAGGGGAAGAGGAAGAAGAAGAAAAAGAAAAAGAAAAAATGAGGATTCAGGTTAAGTCACAGGTGTTCTGAAGTTTGGGGCATTTTACAATGTAGTGGGAGAGGAAGGCATCTACAGAGACGAAGCCAGGGCTAAGGTTCATACAAGGAAAGTTGTGTATTAGAGAGGATTCAACTAGATGGCGACTGTTCGAGTTGGAAGTAGGGAAGACAGTTTTAGCAGAAGACCAGTCAATAGGATGGCTATGATCTCTGACGTGACAGAAAAGAGCATTGTTAGTGTCGGCAAGCCTAACACTATTTTTGTGCTCCCTAAGTCTGTCAGAAAGAGATCGACCAGTTTCTCCGAAGTATTGAAGAGGACAGGAGGAGCAAGAAATAGAGTAGACACCAGGAACATCTGTAGAGGGAGGAGAGGTATGAACGAGATTAGTGCGAAGAGTGTTAGTCTGGCGGAAGGTAAGCTTGATGTCTAAGGACGGAGAGAATTGTTGAGATTAGAAAGACCGGAAATGTAGGGAAGGCAGAGGATAGAAGAGTTCTCATTAGTAGAGAGTTTGGGAGAGAAGAAATTGCGTTTAGCACGTGAGAGGGCAGAGTCTATGAAATGGGAAGGGTAGCCAAGACGGGAGAACGAATTATGAAGAGTGGAAATTTCTGCTGGAAGGAACTGAGGATCACAGATGCGGAGGGCACGGAGAAAGAGGGAGATAAGAACACTTTTCTTGACAGGGGAAGCATGATAGGAAAAGTAGTGAATGTACATGCCACTGTGCATAGGTTTACGGTAAACGGAAAAGGAAAAACCTGTATCTGAGCGGTGGACATGGACATCAAGGAAAGGAAGCAAGGAATTAGATTCCCATTCAGCTTTAAACTTAATGGAAGGGGCAAGATTATTAAGAGCTTCAAGAAAAGGTTGGAAGAGACTGGAGTCATGAGGCCACAGAGCAAAGATGTCGTCCACATAGCGGAGCCCGAGTGAAGGTTGCACATCGAGGGTAGGAAGAAGAACAGTCTCGAAGTATTCCATGTAAAGATTAGCAAGGACAGGAGAGAGAGGAGAGCCTATACCGACACCGAAGGTTTGAGAATAACATTTCCCCTGGAAGGAAAAGGAGTTAGAGTCCACACAGAGGCGGATCAGATCAAGAAAGACATCAGTGGGGATAGGGAGATGAAGAAACCCTTCATGGGCCTTCTCTCTAAGGAAATCAAGGACATCATCAAGAGGGACATTGGTGAAGAGGGACTCAACGTCAAGACTAAGCATCTTACAGGTTGGAAGAGAGCGAACCCGTTCAATGAAGTCTTGAGAGTGACGGAGGTGGGCAGGAGAAAAAGTACGGGTTATTTGTGTACACTACTTATGTCTACTCCCACTCAAACCCAACCTTATTTAGAGACACTGTAAACAACGAGCTGCTAAAAATATATGCTTGGATGATGACTAACAAACTCACTTTCAACATAGACAAAACATACTTCATGCTGTTTGGAAACAGAGCCTTAAATATCCAACTTAATATATTGATAAATGGTTCCCCTATTTCAAGACACACTGAAGGTAAATTTCTAGATCTTCTCCTTGACTGTAATCTTAAATTTCATTCCCACATCCAGCATACTGTGTACCCCAAATGACACTGCTTACCCTATACCACTCATTAATATGTCCCTACCTTACTTATGGTATTTGTGCCAGGGATCAACCACAGCCAACCAGTTTAAATATTTAATAACTCAACAAAAAGCTGTTGTGCAGATAATTACCAGCTCCTGTGCTAGACAGCACACCACACCACTTTTCAAAAGCCTGAGCTAGCTAAGTTTACAAGGCATACACTCGTATTATTGTGCCTATTACATATACAAAACATTAAACTTCAATATAAACCTCCACTTCAACTTCTTGATAGCTACAACGAACAGTCACATTACAAGGCACAAGACACTCTTCAACATCCCTCGTGTCAGTCTCACACTGTGCAAAAATGCAATGCACATAAATGGCTCGTTGATCTGGAGTTCACTACCTGAACTGGTAAAGGATCCCCTGACTACTTATAAATTTAGGACTTTGCTTAAAAATCATCCCATCTCTCAGTACTAACCAAACCAACCAAAACAACTTCTAATCAGTTATTATATTATATGACCTCAAGTCTATTAAACATCTGCCAATCCATGAAATATTACTGCTTGAACCATTAATTGTAATATTGTTAGTATTATGTGCAACTTCAAGATTATTATTATTATAAACCTCCTCCTTGACTACCTTGCATTAGTTTTTTTTTTTTTTTCCAACAAGTCGGCCGTCTCCCACCGAGGCAGGGCGACCCAAAAAAGAAAGAAAATCCCCAAAAAGAAAATACTTTCATAATCATTCAACACTTTCACCTCACTCACACATAATCACTGTTTTTGCAGAGGTGCTCAGAACACAACAGTTTAGAAGCATATACGTATAAAGATACACAATATATCCCTCCAAACTGCTAATGTCCCGAAACCCCTCCTTTAAAGTGCAGGCAACATTGTACTTCCCATTTCCAGGACTCAAGTCCTGGATTAAGATTAAATAAATATTTTAATGAAAGTTAACCACTCTTATCTTGTCTAGATTTAAGTAGTTATTATGTACTAGGATTAGTCTGCCTGAAATGCCCTGGCATGATAGTGGCTTTCTTTGTACTTACAAACCAAAATTGTAATTACACATTGTAACTGTTACAAAGAAATAAAATCTTTACTCTTTTATTCTCCTGTGTATATTACTGATTTAAAAGGAGAAACTTTTGTTTTTCTTTTTGGGCCACCCTGCTTCAGTTTGTTGAAAAATGTGTATATGTGTATGGGGGAAAGGAGGTTTTGTATGTGAGGGGCTTGAACATCCAGTAGGCATGTGTGAGCATTGTAGATTAATGGTTCAGAGAACCGATACGCTGATAAATTAAACACATGTGCAACTCTTGGTTATCTTTATTGAGGAAACGTTTCGCCACACAGTGGCTTCATCAGTCCATACAAAGGAGTAATGTGAAGAACAGGAGAATGAGGTAATCAGTCCCTCAACCTTGAGTCGATGTGGTCAGTCCATCAATCTATTCAAGATTGATGGACTGACCACATCGACTCAAGGTTGAGGGACTGATTACCTCATTCTCCTCCTGTTCTTTACGTTTCTCCTTTATATGGACTGATGAAGCCACTGTGTGGCGAAACGTTTCCTCAATAAAGATACCCAAGATTTGCACATGTCTAATTTATCAATGTGTGAGCATATTAGATAGTGGAGGCAGTGGCTTTCATGACTTGACAGGCTGTTGGAGTGTGAGTAAAGTAACATTTATGAAGGGATTCAGGGAAACCAGTTAGCCAGACTTGAATCCTGGAGGTGGAAAGTGCACTCTGAAGGAGGAGTGGGAATATTTGCAATTTGCAGGGTCACCTGAACTAGAGTATCAGCATGCCTCAGGCAAGACAGTGATAAAGTGATGGTGAAAGTGTTTCTTCTTTTTTTTTGGGGGGGGGGGGGGGGTTGCGCTGCCTTGGTGGGAGACGGCCGGTGTTTGTAGATATAGGAGGGTGGGTGTGGGAAGGAAGAGGAGCAGTTAGTGAAAAGATGAGAGAGTAGTAAGAAAGAAAAAGTTAGCATATGAGAGGTTCTCACAAAGTAAGAGCGATGCAAGGAGATAGGAGTATATAGAGAGAAAGAGAGAGGTTAAGGGAGTGGTGGAGGAATGTAAAAGGAGAGCAAATGAGAGAGTGGGTGAGATGCTATCAACAAATTTTACTGAGAAGAAGAAAAAGTTTTAGGGTGAGATTAATAAGTTAAGACACCCTAGGGAATGAATGGATTTGACAGTTAAAAATAGAAGAGGAGAGTTGTTGGATGGAGAGTTAGAGGTATTGGGAAGATGGAAGGAATATTTTGAGGAACTGTTAACCCTTTCAGGGTTGGTGCCATACAAGTACGGCTTACGCGCCAGGGTTGGTGCCATACTAGCACGCATAAATTCTGGCGTTCTCAGATCAAGCAGGAAAAGGCTGGTAGTCCTGGATGTGAGAGAATGGATCTCCATGGTCAATGTGCGTGGTATAAAAAAATTCG